GAGATGGAGGAGAGAAGATGGTAATTTTCTCTTATTTCATAAAATCCCTAATGTTTACATATATACAAGTTATTTACATTATTTATAGGACAAGTCCCTATAAATGAGATACTATCAATTAGGGTCACATATATTTAACACCTCTCATAGTTTACACTTACTGTGGACTTTTCTTATGTTTAACATCCATCTTTAGCACTCTATCAGGTCAACGATTCCTGTTAGGCCACCTATGTCATAGCTTAATACCGAATCTTTAGTTTGTTTGCTGGTTTGCAGAAACTGATGGGTTATTTTTCTTTCCCATGCTAGTTATTCGTCTTTAGTTAAGCAAGTAATAGTAATTGCATGCTACAGAGAAGGAGAATTTGTGCTTGTACGGGCTTCCTAACGAGCTGTGGGAGGTTAACTTGCCTGCTGAAGAAGTACCTCCAGAACTCCCTGAGCCTGCTCTGGGCATCAACTTTGCTAGAGATGGGATGCAAGAAAAAGACTGGTTAACTCTAGTTGCAGTCCACAGTGATGCTTGGTTGCTGTCAACAGCTTTTTATTTTGGTTCTAGATTTGGATTCGATAAAGCTGACAGGTACATTTCCAGTGCTGCCTTTGATTTATAAGATTTCGTATGTAGGAAGAAACGACTTTGTAGCTTCATTCAGTTAATTCATTTTGCTCAGTGATTCAATCATCTTTGATTTGACTTCATTGAATTTTCACGAATTTTTTTTCCATTTCTTAAACTAATAAATCATCTCTGATATTTTGTGTTGCAGGAAGCGACTTTTCAACATGATCAATGATCTTCCCACAGTATTTGAAGTTGTGACTGGTGCTGCGAAGAAACAGCAGAAAGAGAAATCTTCAGTCTCGAATCACAGTATCAACAAATCCAAGTCAAACTCTAAATCAGTAAGAGCAGGGTTTTTTTAACACAGTGAAGTTATTTGGTTGGTTATAATTGAATATTTGGAGTAAATGGCATCATAATCATGGCAGTGACAAATCAAAGTATTGATTTCGAGGAATTATTATTTAATCTCTGTTTTGTCTTAAGGTTGTGATTTGAAATCAAAGAGTGTTAATGAAATTCATTTTACTCTGCTTTCTCATTCTACTCATTCTTTCATTTGATTTACTGCACAACACTTTGATGAAAGTCTGCTTAAAACATTTAAGTGTAATTCAGAGCAAGTTGAAAACGACACTTCTAACATCATCTAGTCCTGGTTGTTTTATTATATATCTCTCAGTTGTTTTTTCCTTTCTTGGTGATATAATCACTTGTTCACTTTTTGTTGGAAACAGCGAGCATCTGAATCTCAGGGAAAAATTTCGAAGTCAGAGCCAAAAGATGAAGATGAGGGCTTGGACGAGGAAGAAGATGACGAACATGGTGAGACGCTTTGTGGTGCCTGTGGTGAGAACTATGCATCAGATGAATTTTGGATATGCTGTGATTTATGTGAGAAGTGGTTCCACGGCAAGTGCGTGAAGATTACGCCAGCTAGAGCCGAGCATATCAAGCAGTACAAGTGTCCGTCATGCAGTAACAAGAGGGCCCGTGCTTGATGTGGAATATGAATCATATTATCTGTACTCTTGGTAAACTTCCAAGTCTTTACCGTTTAGGTCATTTCTTGTTTGAGTGTTACATGTAGAATTAGCCTTGTGAATGGTACTCTTGTTAGGCAGCCTTGCACTTGGTAATTGGTATAGATTGTCTTGTCGTGGTTGGCACTTGTCCCCTGTTTTAGTCGACTCTTGTCTGTTGGACCATCACGTTCTCTTTAACTATGTAGGAATTTTAGTTTGTTTTCTTGATGATATGACGTGAAGCACGTTTTTTCTCTGCATAAACCATCCATAAACCCCGTTCTCTGTTGAAATTATTTGGAATTTACAGCTCTTTGAATCTCAATTCTTTATATTTTCAAGCTCGTATTTATAAACAAAATTCTGTAACAATCCAATCCACAAACCTACAAATCATATTGCAAATCAATGCACCCGATGGATGATTCCCAAAAAAAAAATCAAAAAAAAATAATTTGAAAAATTCAAAGCAAAACATGAAAACCTAAGTTGGGCCAGGACCTGGGCGTAGGTTAGACAAGCCCAGTTCTCTTTTGCTCATCGAATGGACTTTCTCGAGCTTCAATTTTGCCCGGAAATTGGTAATAAAGGATTCAGCTTTCGTATTCACATCTGGGCTAGGACAGAACGCCGGCGAGGGGTGAAACGGCGACATATCACCCCCTTGTATGGATGAGGGTGTGATGTCGGAATCCATTTCATCAGGTTCCGGTGATCCACTCCGGGAGCTTGCATTGCTGTCTATCCTCACGTAGTCACCTTGTACCACAAACTTCCATGCTGGGGCTTTGAAGAACGGCGGCGGAGGAGGCATAGTCATCAGCGGTGATTCTCCGCCGCTGTTGGAGTTCTCGTCCGCATTTTCGAACCTGTTCATCTTTACGAGTTCTGGGAGCTTGTGGGTGGTTAATGGCACAATCTGGGTACTGGGTTTTGGCTCACGTTCTGCCTTTGGCGGTGGAGGTGGAGGTGGTGGGATTGGTGCTGGTATCGGTGGAGTAACTATTATATGTCCCTTTCTTTTGGGTTTCTTCGATGAGAATATATTGTGAAAGACTGAAGGAGGCGGCGGTGGGGGTGGTGGTGGAGGCGATGGCGGTGGAAGTTGAAAATGTAGCGCTGGAGTTTGAGTTTGATGAAATAGAGAATCCAGATTATCAACACTCCTTTGCCTTTGTTTTTTCTTCTTCTTATTATAAAGCGAATTCAGGAACTCCTTAGTTGCACTTCCCGTGGCACCACCTCTTTTTCTGTCGCTTCTGCCGCTTTTTGGCTGCAACATCGGAGGCGGTGGAGGAGGAGGTATTTTCGGTGGCGCAATGGGTTTTCCGGGATCCAAGTTTCTCTCCACTTTCGATCTTTCTTTTTTACGCCCAACACTTTCATATGTTCTCTTTGGCTTTTCTATAGAATCCGGTTTCTGAGCTGGGTGCAGCGGCGGCATTGCTGGAAGAGGCGGAGTATCTGAAACCTCCTTTGGACGCCTTACAAATGTATCAACATAAATATTCTTGGCGTTCAGCTCATTTTCTCGACCAATTTCTTCTAAGCTCCGGCGGCGGCGATGAAGCTGGCTCGAATCGGGAACCCGATAAGTATCAACATGTATATCATCATAGAATCGCCGGCGATCATCTTCATTACTCCAATTTGATGAAAATTCGCTCCAATTTGATGAAAATTGGCGTAGATCTGGGTAAGAACTACTAATCCTCCTCATGGTGGAACTTTTGTAGAGCTTGTTTTCATTATCTGATGAATATTGATCACACCATTGAGATGAATTTGATTTCTGGGTTTCATTTGTAGAATAATCATACCATTGATGTGGAGTTGATGGATTTGATTTTTGGGTTTCATTTAGTTTAACCGGTGAAGTTTGATATTCATCATAGTATCTATCTCCATTCTTGTTTCTGCTAAGAAATCCGAACACTACAGCAGCAAGAACCAGTACTATGTTCAAAGAATCCCAACTTTTCTTAACATTGTTTGGTCTAAAGATCTGAGCACTGAAAGAAAGAGTGGATGGAACTACAAAAACCAAGAAGGAAACAGCTGTTACCAGCAATAGAATCACCACAAGTCCAGAGCTGAAAAAGATTGACGACAAACGTTGGCGGAGGCGGTCGACGTGGCGGAGACTGTTGGTTCTTTGCATCCAAAATGGAGTCAATTCATCCACATCTCCATCCCATTCCATAGCTTTAGGCTGCTTTTTGAGAAAGATGAAAGATGAGCCTTTTGTGAGAGACCCTTTGCCCTTTCCTTTCACTTTTGCTTTTTGGTTGTGTAATATGTTTGATGACTTTGCCTTGTACACTTTTGCTTTGGTTTTGCTGTTTTCTTGCATGAATTTATAAGATATTATTGTTAGGTTGGTACGTGCTTTAATCTGCAAGTTGATCCAGCTAAAAAAATAATTGGGCACATTTATTCGATACACATATCAATTAAATAGTGGCATAGAGTCTTTCCTTACGTATTTCTAAATTCAGATAAATCATTTTCAGAAAACCATTCAAACATACCTGAAAATAAGGGTCTAATCTCTTTATTATTTTCAAGTCGTTTTTTATTTTCGATTTTTCAAAACAGTGAAAACAAGTTCTTTTTCCTATTTTCGAAAATGCGTTTTTGAAAACAAGTTAAAAACTTACAAAGAAAATCCAAAACTCAAAATTTTCAAAACATGTTTTTGGTGTTTTCAAAACAATTTTTCAAAATGTCAAAAAAATAAAAAATAATCAATTTTCAACAATCTCAAAATGGATACTCAAAATACAAAATCAAAAATGAATTCAAAACACGAAGAGAACCGTCCTCTAATTTTTTAGTTTTAGAAGCAGTTTTGACTTTTCAAAATTTTTGTCAAATGAATCATAAATTTATCGAGAATAATATTCAATTTTTCAATATTCTTGTGTTGCAAGGTTGGGAATGGAGGGATAATGTGACTAATTAATACATAATTTGGTCAATTTCTTGCAACTAAATCGTACGTTTGAAGATTAAAACAGGCATAACCTCACATGTTGGTTTCTTAGCTGTGATTCATTGTATGAATGACAACCCAATGATTAACGCGTATTGTAAATTATGATATTATTGACCAATCACACAGAATGTTAAGCGTGTTGATGGTTGTTACAATTCATAGACATTGTTTATTTTAGTCACATGTTTGTTTATTTCTAACCTTAAAGAATTACTTAATTGGTCAGGTCTTAAGTTTGCTCCGCAAAGGTCACAAGTTCGAATCTTCTCAAGCCACTAAGGTGAGTACCTGACCGTAAACTTCATAGCCCGTGGGATTAGTCGAGGTGCACGTAAGCTGTCCTCGGATATCCGCAATTATCAAAAAAAATTGTTTCTTTATTTCCATTGTAACGTCTTATTTTAGCATTTGATTAATTTTGATGTCAAAATTTGATGGTTCGAAAATCAATTATTGGCCAACTTTGAGGAACTTATGTGCTATAAATGACGTTATTAGTTTGTAAACAAAAGTATTACTAAATGGGGGTGCGCGAAGTAGTTGTAAATAAAATGACATGCATAGGAACCATTGTATCTTTAAGATGGAATTCTATCCATCTCTCGTGGAGATGATTATTGATCCGTTGCAGTTGAATTTAGTGTCACATTATCCAATGTAGTTAAATTGAAACCCTAGAAACACGTAGATCGGTGACCGTCTGAGTAGGCATGAGAATGAATCCCACTTGACAAATGAACATAAACTGTCCTAATTTATGAAAGATTGATCGGCGTTCGTCTCATTGTGAGATTATGTTATCTTATGGAGCTACAATAGTTTACAAAAAAAAAATTACACACTTTATTTTCTACAACATATATCTCTCTTTTGACGATGACTTCATAAACACTAATGACGATTCCTTATTTATAAAAAATTAATTAGGGCAAAAATTTCTAAATTATCCTTATTTATAAGGTCAATCCACTCTCGTATCGTCAATAAATAGACTTCACAAATTAACACCTTATTAAAAAATTAAATTTTAGGTTAGAAAATTTATTCGACTTAGCATACTAGTATTGGGTTTTCGAAATTGACATTCTACATTGAATTGCTTTTAGTATTTCTTTCTTATATGTATTTATTAAAGCAATAGAGAGAGAAAAAGAAAGATAGTGAATTATCATCTTCTTTAAATGTAACTTTCGCATTGAAAGTGAATTACTTAGCGTTTTCCTTTTTTCGAGAGAGTTGGAAAGACGCTTTCCCACGAAGTAAGCAATTTGACAGCTTGTATTGTATTGACATTCATTCCCGGAGCAATAGACAGACAGCACATAGATTTTCATTGCTTTTATTATACTCACGACATGTTAAGAAGGATCGCCCCCCCACCCCACCCCACGCCCACACAACAAGCACGCAACAAAATGAAATATGGTCCATTTGGTATAACTTTTAAAAAGTTAAAAATGAGTTTTTGAAATTCAAAAGTTGCCTCCGAAACAGTCTGACTAATTTCATTGAAGCGCTTCTTCTAATTAGAAGAAATTGATCTAAAGTAAAAGTACTTTTGGTATAGGAAGCTTTTTTAAAATTTAATTTTCAAAAGTCATCGATGATACTCGATTCTTTACGGTTTGTAATAATCGACTAAACAGAATGACGAACAAGAAGTGTATACCTACTATAATTTTTGGAAGCACATCTTAATAATCATCATCTAAGGGGCCTGCTTGGTAATCTACAAATTCTTCAATTATGTGGATTTTTTAAGTATATTCATGAGGAATGCAAATTACACAACATAATCCAAGGATATTTGTTCAACTACTCTACCAACTACTCCTTTTGAACCAATTCATTTCACAATTTTCCATGGATAAGAACTTTTGAAAAATGTTACTTTAACCAATGGCTGGCACTGCAGTACCTTTTGGACCGTGTCAATGGTCAATTTTTTTGCAACGTGCAAGTTTCAAGTCATCTGTAAATAAAGTCATTGGAAGATATAATCATCATTTGAGACGAAGTCCTGGTGTAAAAAGATAAAAAATCATGAAAATTGAGTACAAGAATTTTTGACAGGTTTTTGTCAGAAATTTGAAATGCTTCAATTCTGTCCGTGTATGTGTTTTATCTCCTCAAATCTTTCAATTATTTCCCTTTATTTCAAATTTTTGTATGTTTTCTGTGAAAAATTCCGTAGTAGGATTCAAAAATCACACCAATTCATATTAAACTGCAAGAATGTTCTGTACAGGATTGGATTCACTATTTTAAGTTGCAAGAAATTATAGGATAAGAATGCTTGCAACCTTGTTTGATACTATAAAAGCCATATAAGGCCAATGACACTTTATAGAACGCGACACTACTGATGCAATTACGAACAATGGATCACGATTTTAATCCTCCGAATCAGAATAAGGTGGGCAAGAGCCATCATCCACATTGGCTAGAGGATCATACATGGGTGAGCTGGGATCGGTGCATCCAGGTACAAGATCAAGATTGCAGCGGTCACCCTGCATTCGCATAAGAATTACATTAGATATAATGATTTATAGTATTAACTGATAAAGGTAAATGTCAAATGCACTTACTCCTTCGACTGATAAGTTACCAATTATGGCACATCTTGTGGCGATGATACTAGTGTCTGGGAAAATAGCTCTTTCACATGCACCTTCTTTACTCAACTCCTGTGCAAGCCCCTGAAACCAGAGATGAAAGTTTTTCTATTGAAGAAGTGCCCGAAAAATAAGAAGAAAAACATTTTGTTACCTACCGCGGTGAAGAAATCCATTGTTTTATTTCGCCAAGCTCTTGGAACTTGAAATTGCAGTCTATATGTACCATCCCAATCAGTACCATTTGTGAATGAGAATATCAAGCTTACAGCTGCCAAATGGTGAAATGTCATAGCCATCGGAAACGAATTTATATCGAGTAAAATGGATATAAAAATTTGGTCACGAGGGTACCATGTTTGGGGATACAAATTTGGATTGTGTAAATAGGAGGATCAGCTTTCCCTCGAACTTTATTCAGCATCGCCCTCGGCTCACCACCACACATGATGGGCTGGTTGAAACCTCCTGCAAGTCAATTCGCCTTAAGACAGTACTCGATGAATTTTCAAGGCAACTCCAATCCTAATCCAAATGCAGGTCAGTACATAAAGTCCTGAATAGAGGCATGTGATTACCATTAAAAGCAATTCCGTAATCTTCATTAGGAACAAGTTTGCCTGCAGCTGGATTATAAAATAGCTTCAGCCTTTCTCCCTGAAATTTTTTTTGTCAGAATCAGATGTAAAGTTCAATAAATGAAATGAAGGTTCAAATTCATTAATGCTGTTAATGATATTACACATACTGAAGTAGGAGGAAGACCATTCATAGTTTTCCAGTAGACTGGAGCTCTTCCAAGATCGAATTCGGCCCATGTTGGAAGTACATATCTGGAAACAGTGATCAAGGGATTCTCTAATCAAGCTTCGTATATTGAATTAATTCTTAGTAAGCTCCAAATAGAGACGAGTCAGGAACTCACTCTTTAACTTCCACAACTGGAGCCGTTGCAACTGGAGCAGCGGCTGCCGCAAATATCTTTCCTCTAACCTTAACTAATTTTCTCTTAGTTGAATGAAACTTTAGCAGAGGAGCACCCGTAAAAGTAGTAGCTGCATTAGAACACCAAGCAGAAGCCCTTATTAACGATGGGAAAAATTCATATAGTCAAATATCATCTTCGACACAACCCCTCATGTACAAGTGGTTTCATTTTGCAATGGCCTAATTCGCGCACAATTTTCTGAAATGGGTTGCGTAAATGGTAAACACTTGATGTGAGGACTTTTGCCAGGAAGACCACGATAAACGAAGTCGCCGGTCTATAAAGCAGCATATGTACATGGACTTTCTTCAGACTATCCTTTCTTTGATCAAGCTTTTGAAAAAAGTACTCGTCGTCCTCTACGAGTCTATTCCCTTTCAAACAATTTAATATGTAGGCAATGTATAAATTCAAGAACAAGAAGCAACATATCCAAAATTTTGTTAACTATTGTCACCCCTCCGAGGATCAGTTCATTTAATAACGATTTCAATATTCAGATATGGAACTTCTCAATTAAGTGTAGATAAACAATAAAAAATGATATATCCATGAAAACCTCGATCCAGTTACAATCAGAAAAAGCAATATTTCTTACTCATCAACCATAAATTATTTCCAAGACGAAAACTAAACTAAAAGATATCAGTCTCATCTCTATGAAGAAGAAAAAGAATATATAACATACCATGTGTTGAAAGTGAGGTATTAGTAGTGTTACTTGGACTCGATACGATTTGCTTCGAAGAAGTAAAAGAAGCAGTTGAAGCTGCAGCAGCAGCAGCAGCCATATTGCAGGCAGTAAGGCTAAGGTTGTTTGAGAGTAAGGTTCAGATAATGAAGGATAACGTTGCAGAGAGAAATACAAATGCAACCACAGAATAAAAACTATGCCTTGTAAAAATATCTCTTACCAATAAAAACAAACAAAAGAATAGAATTTGTACGTACCTGGTGTGAACTCAAGAAGAAAAAATATCTGGACCTCACTATCAACAGCCTCTCACCATCCGAAAATCTCGATTCAGCTCCATCGCCCCTTTTTTTGGGACCCTTTTTGCCATGCTTAGTAGGGAGAATTAGATAATAGATTTCAATATTAATTACTAATTATTAATATGAAGATTAATTTTACAGAGTCCAATGGAAGTGCAACATTAACTACTAAGGAAATTTAAGTTTTTGTTAAAGTTTGACCAAAATTCGATTAAAGTATTTGCGGATTTGTTGGATTGAGTTTTGAAGAGGTCAAAATATGGACCAAGTAGGAAAAGATGCCACGTTGCCGCTAGCATACCGCTCGAGCAACGGGACGAAATTTTCAGCAAAGAGTTGCTGCTCGCCTGGCGCTCGAGTGGAGCACCTGCCGCTCGCTTACCGCTAGTCTAGAGCTCGAGCACCTCGCTTATCCAACCTAAAATTGCTTTATTCATTTCACGCGATTCTTGATGTTATTTCCATCTTTAGAAATTTTATTAGAGTTTGATATATACCCCTATATATAGTTAGTTCCTCTACATGGTTAAAACAAGTTAGTAACACAATTCATTATATTTTTTCTTCATATTATATTAAATTCTCCATCCCCCTGCCAATTACTTGTGTCGCGTTCGCTACATCATATTGTGCTATATAATCTAGCTTCTTCAATTCCTAACAAGTAATATCAATATACATAATTCTTGTTCAGATTCCAACAGTTTTTGCAACTGGTTTTTTGAGCCCTTGCAATATTTCCTCCTAGTCATTCAGGAAAAGCAATGAACAGAGATATGAGAACATTTTTCCAATTAAGAACGACCCGCATAGCATAACCAAACAAAGCACATATAAGCTTAACCAAATAGCTACATTTGTTACCCAACGGGAAACACGGGGCATCAAAGCCTTTTATGTTTACAGTAAACAATCTAAAATTTCCCCACAGACAATGCATAAACTACAATGTCACACAATCCAGAAAGGATGATTGCCTATCTCAAAATAAGACTAGCCTAGTCATCATTTAATATTACATTCACCAAAACAAGGCAAGTGTCAGAATTACGTAGAGCGACAAAGATCTACTGAAGATAGCAATTAAAATTACATTCAACTCGTAGCAGCCGATTAAGGCTGATTTGGGGTAAATGTTGCCCCCCTTGAGTTCACCTTGCCATTTTCCACGTTGTCTCCATTCACGATCTTCTCTTCATCCTCCACCTGCAAATTAGTTTTCCCAATGATATCCTGGATTCCATTATTTTGTGCCGCAGATGTAGGTGCTGCAGCAGCAAGAATCTCCTTTTTAGCTCCATCAGCAGCTACCATGGGGACGCTAAATTCCTTGATTTGTTTCTCGTCATCCACGCCAAGTTCTGCAGACCCAGAATCCGGCTTCTCTTCCACTCCAGATAACTGTTTTTCTTCCACCTTTGAAGTCTCTTCAACCCTTTTGTCAGTAGGTTCATCCTTATCATTCCCCTGGTTATCACCGCCCATCTCAACATCTGTCCTGGCATTTTCCTTGGCCCCTTTCTCATCCAATTCAGTCATAGGATCTTCCTGCTTTTCGTCTTCCCTCTTAGCCTCAGAATCCATCAGATTATCAGTCTGCTTCTCTTGTTCTTTGTTCTCATCAACTTCATCTTGTTTTTTAACCTCTTTCTTCCCTCCTGATTCGTCTTTTCCAGTGTTAATCTCGTCTTTCTTACTACCTGATGCTTTCCTCCTCCGCTTGTTTGGCAACTCACTCTCTTTAGATGGAGGTGTGGCCTTGGCCTTCTCACTGATCCTTGATGATCTTCTTGGAGTCTCACCAGTGCTCCAATCAAATACCGATATTTCAGGGTTTCCAGGGTGAGCCTTTAAGTACTTCTCCAGCTGTTTTCGGTTAACAATTTCCTCACCAGTAGGAGCAATAAATGAAATTTCATTCTTCCTTGGTGTTCCCTTCGTTGGCGTGTACTAAAAGAAAATGTTAATTAACAGTGTCAAGATACTATATGAATGGAAAAAATACAGATAATAGAAAGAAAAATCACGGCATTCTCGCACATTAGAAATCACAGAAATGCTATAAAATGTCTCTGAGGCAGTCATGCGACTAGTCTTTCACATACCTAAAGATAATTTGTAGGAATAGATTTGATACATCTACCTTCCTTTTTCCGTTCAGAAATTCAATAAATTTATATGCAATATCAACTCTTATATGAAAATTCTCGTTTCATTGATATTATCTACACCGAATAACTGCACAAGCCTCAAAATACTAAGCTAATCCACGTTTAGAAACTTAAAAGCTATGTTGCTTGGACTCGGGTGCGGGTGTCGGATATGGGTACATATCTAGGAGTCGGATTCTTCTCATTTTAAAAATTAAGATACGGGGATACGGTTAAAAAGGATCCGAATTTTGGATAAGGGTACAGGGACACGTCTTAATTTTTATTTATTTATTTTTTTTTTTGTTTTCTAAAAAATGATATAATCAAAGCAAACAACTGCAATATTAAAGCTAAACAACAAATTACTGAAATACAAATGTTTCAATAATTCATATAAAGACGA